AACAACTATGTATAAAAATCAGCCTGTCATACATACAGAAAGTATTTGTGTGTAGGTTCGGATGATTACTGTCACAATGATTAACAAACGTTTTCATAAACATTGAGATCACAATAATTTCAGGGACAAAATATTTTCAGTGCACTTTCACAATTAAAATAACAGCACACTGCTCACACTTCCACGTTGTGCTACATTTCTGTTAATGTACAAATCTTTGCATCTAAATAAGACTTAATATAAGGTTCTTTACCTAAATTTAATACATCCAAGAGAGGGAAAATACAAATAACATAGCACCCAAGACACCTCACTTGCTGAACATCTACTTACAAATAGACACTACAATTTACTGATGCTCCACAACACCTCACATGCTGGCTACAGTAGACGCTAGCTAGGGACACTATGCACAGACAAGCTTTTCGTGTCTCCACTGAGTTGCTGCAGCACAGGCAACTTAGAAAGGTGTGTCATCAAAAATGACTTGGAATGGAGTCAAATAAAGGATACTAATGTCAAATTTACAAAAGGTTAAAGAAAATCATATCATCAATCTCCATGGTCAGTTTTCTATGATCGGAGCCTTCTATGAGCAGAGCGTGAATGTTCATACAACTGTGGGAGGCTAAAATCGTGATTAAAACTCATTGAAATTAATAACATAATATCAACGCTGATGGCATTTATGTTAGAGAATAGATGGCACAAGTATACGTCAAGAAAAATGTTCAACAAAAAGAAGATTACAAATTTTTAAAAATTCTGAAATACTGGACATACAGCTCAAACTGAAGATCAGAAGTATTTGAACAGGCAATAGTGGCTTCACCACAGGCCAGCGTTACAATCTTTTTGCATTTAATTTGCCATTCTTTAGCTTGCAGAACTGCTTAAAAACATCTGGACGGGTTGTCAGTTTATCCTTCACCTCAATGGCATCCCACTGCTGCTCTATGGAGTTTACTGTATGTCAGTGGCCTGGGAAAGCTTATCTGAGACTGATGTTCTCCATGGAAAAATATTCATTCAACATCCTAGTCAAAGATCAATTTGTGTCACTTTTTTTTGTTGTTGTTGTTTTTTGGGGCTGATTTCTCCTCATTTGCTTTTCCACAATTCCTCTGTACACATAATTTCATCAATAAAAACAAGACCAGCTACACCATCGTAAAGAAAACCATCTAAGACTTTGATGTCCCCACCTCCAGGCTTTGCTATACCCTTAATGCAGTCTGCCTGGAATTCTTCCCCTCACAAACGTTTCTAAACAAAATCCAAGTAAGTTGAACTGGGCCTGCTTACACTCCTCCAAAACCTGCTTTCTTTGTGTGCATGTTCATTTTTATATTTATTTTCAGGTGTCTTATTCTTTGAGTTTATGAATACTTTATGCCAGATCAGATACCATCTGTATCTTTGCAAACTTCAGAAGAAAATGTTCGTTAGAGTTGGGGTTTTTTTTCCCCACATAGATCAAATACTAGTTTATCTAACATTTATGACATACCCTTATGAAACTCATGGAAACTGGCTCCAAGTATTATCTCCACTGAGCAAAATCAGCAATGACGAAACAATTCTAACAATCTCAATGTAAGAAAACATCTTTCTCTGCATAATTTACTGAAAACATTGCAAAATGTAAATCGGCAGTGTAAATCGCATGTATGTGTACACTTACAAGTCATCTTTGAAGCTAAGCGCAAACTTAGGCTGTTCTCCAACAGACAACTGTGGGTTGGTCGGCTGCAGCTCTCTGCCCTCCAGATATGACGCCTCAACAAGATCTCCTCTGTAAAAAAAAAATACATAGCAATGCTTTCACAAAGCAACAGATTGTTATCGTACTAAAATACTCTGGATCTTTGCCAGTAGTCCAGAATTAAATATAGCAGCTGAATATGAGCTTAGAGCAAATATCCTTGGCTCTCTGGCTACAATATTTGTGAGAAAAGTCAGAGATCCCCAAGAGCAACTTCTCCTTAACAAACACATATTCATATGCAGTTCTTTATTTGGCAGACATGTTTTGCCATACTGTACTGCTAACTATGTGTTGTAGACCATTTATTTCTATGTTCAATAGCATTTAAATGCAAAAAAAAAACACTAAAAACACAGAGAGGGAAAAACAGAACTCAACCTCTCACATTAGTCTAACATTCATTGCAATGAATCAGAGAATGATGATACATAGGAGTTTTTCTACAACAAGTCACATCTGTCCAAAGCAACAGCGTGCGCCCACCTGTTGTCAGACCCCGGTCTAATTTTAGCAACTGTAGAAGCAGCCACTGGCAGTCCTGGGCCTGACCCCAATGTCACATTCCCCAGTGTGGCACGGCCGCTGGTGCTGTCCAGGGATTTGCAGAGGAAACTTGGGAAGGCTTCATCCTCCAACTTGTAAAAACTGTCTGCCATGCTTTGGATGGAGTAGGGTGACTGCCAAATGTGGCTTGATTTAGTTCAGGTGAAGACCATCTGTAATATCTAAGAAAACACACAGAAGAAATAAAGAGCAGATTAGTATTACTTTAAGAAATCAGAACACTTCCAATAAAAATTTTCACAGCACAATGGCACAAAGGGAACCGTTTAATCCGTGGTTCTATTTAGAAAGTTTCAGCAGATTAATACCACCTTACAACTGTGAAAACAAGCGATGAAAGCAATATAGTTTGAATGTTTGACTGTATGTTGTCTCGCGTGTATACGGTTTGGCTTATCAATAAAACAAAAGGAAAACACTTCAGTAGCTACTTACGCTGGGTTAGCTAACTTTATAGCTAACTAGCTACTTGCTAAAAACAAGAGGGTTTGCCAAACTCGCCAGCATGCTCCAATTTTTAGCTACTCCACTAACGTCGGTGAATAAGTTAGAGAGAAACGTTGCAAGAAGATAAGTCACTGAGATAAGTCAACAAGCGAAACCTGGTGCCTGACCAGTTCTTCAACTCTATTTAATTCCAGCCAGAGAACTGACTTTTAACGTTAGTTGGTCTTCAACTCACATTCAATACTGCAGGAGCGGGCCGAGACTTCTGTTCTTGTCCAACTCGACTTTTGCCGATGGAAACAGGTTCACATGTGTTGCAAGATGCCGTTAAGTTCCAAATGTAACTTGCCAGAGCCTAACGCCTTTCATTTTCACTTAAAATCAGAAATATTAAACAAACCGTGCAACAGTTCGAACTACCAAGCAGCGCCCAGAAACCACAGGAAGCCCGCCTGAGCGTCATATCATGGGGGCGGGACTTAACCAATTTACAACACATTGATTGGCCAACAAAACTGAGAGGGAGGAAATGGCCAATCATGATAGGATGGGATTCATGCCATTTTGTCGGACTTGGTCAACTGGGACAGTTTGGAAAACCTCATTCATGTATTTGTGGAGTGTTTGTTCTTAAGATGAATGAAAGCAGAGGGATGTTTATTTTTAGACAGCAGCCATAGCGTGTCCAATGATGACAATAACTTTAAACATTAACAACTTCTTGTTTGAAATGAGCTGCCTAATCAAAGGTAGGCAAAACATTTTTTTTTTTTTAAATACATAAGGAAGGACATGTACAGCCACAGACCTATAATATGAGAGTATGTGACAGTATATGACTGCACAAGTGAGTTTATTTTATCATGGGTTTGCCAAGCAGCTGCAAGATTGCTTTGGTTTGCAGACAGCTGTCTGCTGAGAGAGCAGCCATCCCATGCATTCCATTTTTTGAGTGAGCCACAAAATGAAATTTTGTCCTGCCTGTCAAAATAAAGGACATACTGTTTCCCCAATTTTAGAATGAACTGCACCATTTTCTCCTGTGGTCCTTAACTGATTCCCCACAAGGATATATATTGTAATTACAAAACAATTGCAGAATTAGCAGGGATTCATGGACATGCTCAGTGCCTCTAAAGCGGGGCAAAGGGTCACACCAATACAAGGACTGAACAGACCTGTAAGCCCTGTGATCCAGCAACTCAGTCTCCAGGGAATCAGCTCCTATTAGTTAGAATATTGTATCAAAATGTGTCAAGAATGAATGTGATGCTTTAAAAAAAAAACAACTCATGATTCAAAATTGCTGTGGATCAATTTTAACAAAGGGCCTGCATGATGGTGAATCATGTGTTATTTCTATTGAGAACTTGTTTCACATGATAGTCACTCATGAATGAATGTTGCCAGTTCCTGTTTGTCTGTGAGGGGAAAATAGTCAAAATAAAATTCTTTTAATATCTTATTGTGCTTAATCTGACTTCCACTAAGGCCAAATATAAACCTTCATGAGCGGACAGTAATTATAACAAACATTACCTTTCCTGTCCAATTACCAGTTGACACAGATGTTGTCTGTTGACCCCAAAATAACAAAACATGAATGTTTTTTCCCCCTCTCTATACACTTATTCAACTCCAAGCTAAAAATTCTGCATGTATTTCTCAGAGATTTGCATACACAAATAGTAAAGTGGCTTTCTCCCCATGTATTACATTTCATTACCTTTTCCAAGTTATGCACTGAAAACAACAAAACAGAGAAAAAATGGTTCTTTATTAAAAATGAATGGCAGTTATGTTGCTCTGCCCCATTCCTTAACTGAATTTGGTTTATTTAAGTAAAAATACAAACACAAAAAATGAAAAATAATCATTGCCCCTCAGCTTCTGGTAGGGGCAGCAGTGCTCTTGAGGAGAGTCTGTGAGGAAGAGCCTGTGGCTGAGGCTGAATGGGCTCAGCATCACAGTGCTCTATGAGGGAGGAGGGAGGCAGCAGGTGACCATACCTGGTCCCCGCTCTGGGAGGATCCAAAGGTGGAAAGAAATACCTGAAGCAACAAAAACAAAAAAAAAAGAACAAAAAAGACAAACAACAAATACAAGGAAAGGGGAAGAAAAGAAGACAACAAAAAGGAATATACAGGGAAATGAGAAATTAAAAGGAGAAAAGATGCACATATGCTGTAGAAACTAAAAAGGGAGAAGAGGATGGCAGGCAGAGTGGTGAAAACGGTTTATTTCTCAAAGGCGTATGTGCCAGTCAAAGCAGTGTCAAAAACATGAAAGAATCAAAACAAGGTGGAAGCTGTGAAGTACAGAAGCATGCAGATTTCCAAGCCAAAAATGAAGAAATCAGTCACACACACACACACACACAATCTTGCATTTCAAATGCACTGACACAAGAGCAAATGGCAGCTAACGCAGAAGAGACATTAGTAATATGCAGGATGCTGGTATATCTTTGGAGAGGTCAGCTGCCGCAGGGGAGGAGCAAAGGGAGCTCTCTTGCCAATCCTGCATGCAACAAGCAGTACAATACCACATTACTTTAACAAACCCCACTTCACACTCATCTTTGTCAACAGGTAACTGTAATACAAGTAAATCTACGTGTAAAATTATTTTACAGTTGAATTACAAATTTAGACTTGGTTGCAAAGTTAATTATTCTATGAAAATGTCATACAATACATAGATGCTGTGTTACTCAGGTTAGAGATGACCTAAAAGGTAAATCAAAATGATCAAGAAGGGTAAATACACAGGTTTTGTTAAGTCTGAGGTTAATAAATTGAACATAAATACAGCCACGTATTGACTCTGACGAAACCAATGTTAGCTCAAACGCTATTTGTTTACTGGCACTTGGATTTTTTGCATCACAATAACAAAACAATCACATCTGCTCATCTATAACTTGAAGCCAGTCTGTGTACCTTCTGAACAACAGCCACTGTGACTACTCGTTAGAATTAAGGGATAATGCTAAACACTAAAACACTGTGACAAGTATAGAGGAGCTTTAAAGTCAGCAGATTCATTGAGACCAAGTAAGATAAATTTAATATTTAATTTTTATCAAGCAGAATGCATTCACTCAAAATGACATAGTCTGCTTTTGTAAATGTAAATGGCTGTATTCATACTCACATTGTATGTGTTTACAGTTGGTTAATAAGCTTTATTCAAGCTGTCCTGCTCAGCAAAGAGTTTGGCAATACTTGCTCAAGGATACATTCAAATTTAAGAGAGAAATTAGAAGAAAAATGATGGATTTAATTTCTTGTTTTGAAATGGAAATTCTCACAAAGGTGTTGTAGAGGGAAGCTACTCAAATAACTCAGTATTTACAAAATGATGTAACCTAACAAAAAAAATCTCAAAATTGAACAACAACTGAAAAAATAGCCACATATCAAATTCATATAATCAGATTTATTTCACTTTGTACTAAGAAAACTGTTAGCCCTTACACTGAGAATGCAAAGTGGAAACACAAAACTGCTCTTATGACATGCATCAATACAAACCAGGAGGAAGTCACTTATAAAACACCACAACACATCCGGCTCCACAGGCTTGATGCAGACAACCTGTATGCTGAAGGCCAGAAGCCAAGCTCTTTGCATGAGTGCGGCATTGGGTCAGTAAGAGTCCAACAAGTTTGTCAGTGAGCAGCTGCAGTCCCAGTCAGTGTGAGGCATAAAAAATGTTGTCAGTTCTGACTGGCTCAGGTCTGGGTGGGTGAGTGGCGTCAGACACACCACACCACCTACCTTCCTGCAGTCATCCCGTTCATGGCATTCTGGGAGGTCTGAACAGAGGAGCCCACCACAGTGCTCATGGCTGTAGGCTGACCAGATGAACCTGTCAGCGGGCTGCCGTCTCCCTTCAGGATGCCTGTGCACTTCCAGTTGTCCATGTAGTTAGCTGCACAGAGAGAGAGAGAGAGAGAGAAGGTAAAATTAGTGTGCATTTATTTCTTATGCAAAGGAAAAGTTGATTGAGGGACTTAATTTGGGTCACATCTGAACTCTTCATGGTCATAGGTTATTAATTTATTTACATTTTGACCCACTTAAAGTGCATTATGTCCTATATGTCAGGGCTTAAAGACGGCTCTTTGCTCCTCTTGAATATCTTCTATGTTGCCTCACTAGTGCATTACTGTGCATTTTAATAATTCTTATTAAAATACATAAATGTATATATTTACTATCAACTGACCTTCACTTAACAAAATCCACAGGATGTTACAACGGAGCACACGAACACTTAAGTGTAAAAGGGGTTACTCAGGATGATAAATACACAGGGAATTAGAATTGTCACCCAACTCTGGAGTTGCATTGACCTTTTGAGTCTCTCTGATCTCCTTGTTTTGTTTTTTTGGATAGTTTTGGTTCATTTTCATAGCACCACTTTTATGTGCTGAAGACACATGTTTTCAGTGAAAAGCTCCGATAAAACCACTCTACATTACTGACCCAGCACAAAACAGCAGTCGGACACACTTGGACACGAGCTGGTGACAGCTAAGACCCAGATATTTGTCTTAGATGTTGTGGAAACTGAAGCAGACAGATCATTAGATTGACATTTGACAGACTGTTGGAAATACAGCTTCAGCTGATGCTAAATGCTGATCGGTATCTGCTAGACATGCAAGTAGGCAACTGCAGCTGGCATAATAACTTCATTAGGGGATAACACGGTGCCACAGTTGTCTCAGCTTGTTTCTATAGAAATCAGTTTAACAATGCAAACGATTCACTATCTATTTGGCTTTTACTTTAAGGCATACAGCACACAGTCCGCATATAACCAATGTATGTGTTTTTCTTCCTCTGTGAAGTCTTTTAAGCAGGAGAAAAAGAGAAAGAAAGTTATATATTTACTTCGCCAAGAACTTTTAAGAACATACAGACAAAGAAAGGACAGCAGGTAAAATAAGGCATAGACACAAATATCTGTGATCGTACCAATGAGATGTAAACATGTTTTAAATACACTTCTAAAACAAAAAATGCTTACAAATTAATTGAAGTTTGTTTTGTTTTTCTATTCCTGAAGACATTTCAGTTTGTAAAACACCAAAGAAATGGCAGCCGTATGGAGTGATCTAAAGGTGGTACATGTAGCCTGATCTGGTGAACACCCAAAGTAACAGGCATCATAGCTTCCCACTTCTATAGGACTTTGTAAACTGCAGGACTCATTCGTAACTCTGGGAACAATGTTGATTGGCTGCAGAGTGTGGATTAACTTTTAGTCACTGTGTAATTTAACCTATGACTGAATGAATTCTCTAATATTATTGACACCAACAGCTGAGCCACAGCTTTAGAGTTTGGAACTTGATACTTGAGTGCATATGGAAGTCCTAATTTAAACAGTAAGTGGACAAAAGCAGACTAAACTAGAGGAACTAAACGGTTTGGGACAGAGTTTGAGCAACAAACCAGAAAGACCTGAAAGGGAAATGTGACTAAAAACTACATAGAAAATACAAAGAGGATAATTCACGGGAAAGACTGGGGAAGTGAGGAGAGACAGTCAGTCTGTGACCTGTGCTTCTCCACTGGGCACATAGTATTTAGAACATCATGTAGCAGAATGTTCTGCACATTAGCAAATTAGTTCAGTTTCTTCTAATTTTGTGAAAATTCACTTTGTCTGTGGCAATTGTCAAATTCAGCCACAAGAGAAAAGATATTAGAATTAAAGATAGACATGAAACAACAAAGCGCTCCACAACAACACTGCCAACAATCAAGAACCAGGTACAACAAAACGCAAGTGACAGAAATGTTATATCATTCAGGTTTACTTGACAGAACTATACTGGAAAATATGAAGGATGAAGTGAACACAGTCCACACCATACCTCCATCATAATGCTAACAGCTCATAACAGCTCGCTTTCACAATTACAGAGGACTGACTGCCCTTTCCTCAAAGCAGTGTCATACTGTGTTGTTGACCTGCAAACTTACTAGATATGAAAATAAAAACAAGCAATAAAGTAAAAAGTTCATTATCTACACACTGCTTGATGTTCACGGGGGGGGGGACCACACATCAACATGATTCATTCAGTTTATTACAACTACACCGTGATTACTGATTGATTCACTTTGGAGTTTTATTCACATCCAGGTTATAATTTAGTTCAGAATATATATTTACAGAATGGAAATGGAAACTAGTGTCCCGTTTTGTTGCCTTTTCATTATTCTTTTATTTATCTTTGTTTATTTCTTAAGGAGTTGCACTGAATTTTGGAGAAAAAGAGGACCTATTTTATTTTTAAGCACATATTTGCACATTAGCAGGAATGTAGCACAATATATGGATGTGAAAACAGTTATAATAAGTCTGTAAAACAACAAAATTTGTTTTGGTTAAAATCAACAAATAATCGAGATAATTAATCGTGATTACAATATTTATCAAAATAATCGTGATTATCATTTTGGCCATAATCGTGCAGCCCTACTGGACAGGTCACCAGTCTATCGCAGGGCTACACTTAGAGACAGACGGACAATTTAGAATCACCAATTAACCTCAACCTGGTTTTGGACTTGTGGGAGGAAGCCGGAGAACCCGAAGAGAACCCACGCTGCACAGGGAGAACATGTAAACTCCACACAGAAAGATCACGGGTCTCCTCACCAGGATGCAAACTGGCGACCTTCTTGCTGCGAGGCAACAGTGCTAACCACGGCTCACCTTGCAGCCCCTGTCGACAACACCTGTGTTAAAATCCTGCAACAGTTTTTCACTAGTTAAAGGTCCCCTAGATATTTATACCAGTCAGCGAAATTTCTCTTAACCAGTCTAAAAACTTGTTAGGAAAATACAACTCCTAGCTGTGAGTCTCACAAACCCCTTCCTGTTTAGCTACATGTGGCTTCGCTACACAAAATTACTTGTGTATTTAACGTGTGTAAATGAACACCTGATCATTTCCATTTGATTATATACGGCATCTTGTAAGAACAAGCATGACATATTCTTTACATAGTTTAAACTTGCCAGCATGAAAATAAGGTAAAAAGGGAAATAGCAAAGAAGCAGAAGTACGTCAACTGACCGAACCTTTGCTGCTGCAGACCACTACATGGACACACCAGAGAGAAGCGTAAGAATGTCATCTTTGTTTATACACCTGTACCCCCCAATTCATCATTCTTAAATTGATCGGTACCAACAACAAGAAAGCAAAGGTCTTTCAACACCTGGTAAGACTCTGTTTACCCAACATCACACAAACCAACATTTTACACAGTGCACAAAAGCAGCTTTAAGTATCGCTGTCACCAAAATGAAAGGAAGACAAATGAGCAGGCACCAACAGTAGCCAACAACAGTCTCCCACCTTTCCAGAGGCGAACGCAGCCATCATCCCCGGAGGAGGCCAGCAGGGTGCTGGTGATGTTCCAGCTCACACGCCACACCTGGGAATTATGGTTGTCAAACTGAGCCACAATATGCACCTCAAACTTGGTGGGTCCTGTAGAGGTGCTCTCCTTCCTGTCAAGAGGATACAAAATACAGAACATCTCATTGTTACATCTTCATTTCTGTCACTTTAAATTGTGTTTTGTTTCCATTTGAAAGTAGCAGAAGTACACCTTGTAAAACTCTGCATTTGGAACATATGGGGTGAATTTATTAACACATGTAATGAGGATTTCAGTGGCTACACTTCTCTCTGTGCACTATGACTTATTTACAGTAATTTTGACAACAGAGAGAAAAGAACTGAATGAGTCACCTCATGGGAACAAGCTTGAATATTCTGACATCCTTTGTTGCGATGGCGAGCACGTGGAAAGATCGCCCCAGATTTGGAGCAAAAGCGATGTCATGGACTGCATCCGTGACTGTCATCAGGGTTTCTGCTTTACCATATTTCCTTTGAAACAGTAATGGAGGAAATGACTTTTTAAAAAAGCATTTATATTTTCTACATTGGTATTTTTGTATTAATACAGTGGCATACAAACAACTAAGCAGGAATACCTACCGTGTGTTTTCATTATACTCATAGATCTGAACTTTCCCACCGTACGTTACGTTGCTATCATCACTTCCCACAGCAAACATTGGAGGGTGGGCACGAGAGCTGGGCAGGAGGAAGACAAAACATGATTACACTCACAGGTACTTCGATGCCACTGTGTTATCTGACACGCTGCTGCGAAGTCACAGCTCAGAGTTTTAAACTTCAGCAGTGGAAAACTTTCCATATAAAGTGGTCAAGTTACTGAACATCATAAATTTAACACAGGAACTACTAAAAGATGCAAATGTATCATGTTTTACCAGAACAGTTTACTTTGATTTACTGTAAAAATGTTTTACTGGACTACGTCCTGAAAATGTAAAAGTAATTAGTCTTTGCAAGAATTCTTTCTCACATCCCGCTACTTCATTGTATATGAATGCTAAATGTGAAGAAAGGGCTGTACAGTGAGGTATATGTGCATTGTTGTTACATCACTAAGCAATGCTTTTTATATTCCACATCACAAACTGGAGTTAATAGCTCTAGAACACATTTACAAGTTAAGGCTAATAAGTTGCATAGATCAGAACAAGGTATATTAAAACTTGCTACTCTGAAAAATAAGTGTATGAGGAGGACATTCCAACCTCCTACTTCAAAAAAATGACAGATCTGTTCTCGAAATCAGAGCTCTGACGGTGAAACTCAGGCCAGTTTCAGGCACCCTAGTTTCACTGAGAAGAAAGCTCTGATGCCACTAAATTTGGCAGCTTCCCTAGAGGGGAATTTTACTCCAGATATATTAGCAAATGAAATAGGCAACCTGAAACATGCAACGTTAACAATACACTATGTTGAGAATCTGTCATTTTTAAGAGAAAAAAAAATCACAGGAATGTGACCCTTCATTGCAATGTGAAATACAAAACAACTAGTACTGGAAATGTAGAAAAACTGGATGTGTTCTACACATTTTATAACAGTTTTTGATATAAAGTAAAGTCCAACCTGGAGGGGTTCCAAGAGATGCAGCTGCAGCTGAGCTTGCAGGAGATCTCATGCTGCAAGGACCACTGACTCAAGTTCATGACATCGGGAGCCTCGTAGATCCTCACCACTCCATCCGCAGAGCAGGTGGTCAGCATCAGCCCCATGTGTTTGGGGGCAAACTTCACATCAGTCACTGATGTTCTACTGTCCACTAGCGTGGTTCTCTTTATCTAAAAAATCAGAGGAACATGAAGCACTTGGGTCAAATTTTCTCACAAACGAACAGTCCTGCAATTTCAACAATGTGCATGAGTTGTGCTAACCCAGTGGCTCAGTCCCCTCTGCTTGTCATTAGATTCCCCTACAATCTCCTCCCAGACAGCAGCTGTTCTGTCAAAGGAGCAGGAAGCTAGAACCTGTCCAAATTCAGGATGAGCCCAGGTCACTCTCCACACTGATCCACTGTGTGTCTGCACAGAAGAAGGAAGAGCTTTTGTTAAATCAGTGAACATTCATCATATAAGCATAACTTTAAGTTTCAAGCTCTATCCATAACAGTGAATGTACTGTATAAGTCCACAACAGACATACAGTAGTGAATGAAGAGGAAAGGAAAATATGCAAAGATAAAATCCTGTTGTGCAAAGCTGGTTAAAGGTGGATAACATAGCATTTTACCAGGAAGGTCTCTTGCAACTAGTTCAAATTTATCAAGGAGCAGCAAGTGGTGTACCTTCCAGCTGGCTGTGCAGTGCCACTCTCCGTTCTCACTTTTGTCCCAAACCTGAGAGGAACAATTCAAGTCAGGTCACTTCGACTCACACAACAAAAGTTTCAAGATATTCTCCATTTGAAACAGTGTTAAGAAATGCTACAATTTAGGTACACGTGTACACATTTGTTAAACTAGTAAGACACAAGCCTTCTGAATGTTTCTAAAGACTACAGATACAGGAGATGCCTCAAATGCTGTTCGGTGCCATGCCGACAAAGTCTGCAGTGTTTACATCAAACATACAGCCAACCTAGCATGTATGCTACCATGGCTAACAAACTAGCTGCATTCAAGTACAGCTTCCTTCCAGCGTCAGCATAAGAAGATGATTTTGATAACAACCCTATGTTATACGTGTCGACAACTGCAGGGAAATTAGTCTTGAAGTTCAGCAGTGAGCTTAAAGTGTAGATAACGTGGGTAATGCAAACAAGCTAGTTGTGACAGCTAACGCTAGCATTAGCAAACGGTGATGTGTAACTCACCTTCACGCTTTGGTCGCTGGAGCAAGTTGCCATTCTCCGGCCGTGAAAATCATACGACACATCGTGAATTAGATCTTTGTGGTCTGCTGCGATACTACGAGCAACAAACATGATTACAACTCCAACAAGCCAGCAACACTAGCTATACCGGTTAACTAGCAGGCCTGTCATGTGTCCACTTGTGTCTGTGTTTGGCGGGTCCTCGTAGTATCAGCGGTGAGTGTGTGTGCAGTGGCCGCTGTTGACCACAGAGAGGCGCATTCACACACGTTTGATGTGCACACCGACTGAAAAGTCAACGCTCAAACCATGTTTTCACTTTCACGTGCTTTATAATACGACAAAATATATTAAAACATATCATGTCTTAAAAAACGGCAACCGGAATCTATTTTTTAAATCTAAAAAAACATTGCAACCTAATAAAAAAAAATCGTAAATAACATAATAGTAACATTTTTGTGCCTCCCCCGGTCAACTGGGGTTGCCAGGTTTGACAGAATGTTACACTATTGGCCACTCACGTTCAACAATTTCAGAGTACAGGACCGTGGGCAAAACTATCTGTACATATATGTTTAACAGTGCGTTTCAATATATTTGTGTATTATTTTAAATGTTCCTTTTTCTTTTTTCTTTTTTTAAAAATAATAATAAAAATAAATAAAGGCTAACATTTCTTAAAAAGAAAAAAAAGATTAACTTCAGCGTGCTCTCATAATTAAAAACCCAGTTTATTGCACGAGCAATGCTGATATATGTCGATATATGCATGAAAGAGCACAAACACAAAGCAGTATGATACCGGAATCATCTTTGTGGTAGGTTGTGATAAACACATAACTGGCAACCCGAGCCAGTCAGCGTGCATACAGTATTGTGCAGGAGCAGCAGACTCCCCGCAGGGATTCCTAGGGTTACACACAGTGCTGTTTAGATGGCTGACAGAAAAGAATAAGTTAGTGAACGGTGCTGCGAACACACTGAGATTGTCCTTCAAGTGTCTCAGTTCACTAGTTACGACGCAATGGAGCAAGAATTTGAAGACATTGACTCGTCCGGGAGATGGCAAAACCTTTACAATGTAAGTCGGGACACAGGGCCTCTCGTGTTTCTATGACGATTGGTTGCTAACTTACTTAGCTAGCTAATTTGATAGCTATCCCGTTAGACACTTCTGTCAGTATTTGGTTACTTTTAGCCTTACGGGGGACTAGTTTATTTGAGTTAAGTTATGCAGTTCATCACATTGCGTACATTGGTGTGCAGCTCGAGGAGACGAATGAGAAACTAGCAATTCGCGCTAGTAGTCGCTGACTTCCGTAGCTGGAAAACGTGCAGCGGAACAGTGTTCACAGTTTGAGCTCGGTTAGCTAATACCGGCTGACGCTAACAGACGTCAGCTGCAGTTTCTCAGAACTCATCAGGGCTTCCAGTGAAAAGCGTACGTTTTACCACCAGCTGTCTCAAATAACCCAGTATTTCGTCTATAATGTTTCTGTTCCGATTTAACTTTGGCTGTTTTCCTGTCATTTGTAGCCACGAACTGAAGGATTTCCCTTAACTGACGTTTTGTAGCTAACAGTTACTCTGTTGAGAAGTTACAAAGAAACGGTAAAAAAAACAAAAAAAAACAAACAAAATAAATACCGGTACAAATAACTGTAGACAACCAATTTCTACAGTAAGATATAGCATTAGTGTTATCATAGCAGCCAGACAAATAGCAGCCTTTGGATAACTTGAGGGAAATTTGTAGTCCCTGTGAAGAAATGATTTCATGAGATAAAACCTGTCACTCTAACGTTAAAAGCTTCCAGTCAAGCTGAGAGCTCAAAAAACCTCAACAAATTCAGTCTCAACATCTATTCAGAGTGTACTGTGTATATCCAAAGATGAGCTGTTTTTGTCATGTTTACATCCTTTGTGGATGGTGTGTGTCAACGTTTTTTTTTTCTTCAGTTGCTTTGCTTGTAATCGGTGAAACAGCTTCTCATTTACTTCCATTTATTAAAAAAAAAGGTTCCCTGTTTTCTCTCTTTGGCTGCACCCATGCACACAATAAGGCTGTCTAGTAAAAACAACAGCCTATGGCATTACAATGTACCAGTTTGACCAATGACAAAAAAAACAAAGCAGATCAGTTCTAACAGATCTTTCAGAAAAGTCCTATTGTGTTAAATACTTTAATCTGTGTGGTATTTACTTTATTTGTGGTTATTCTTTCTGGCCACCACCTTAGTCACTCAGAAGGTTCATGCATTCACCAGATTGTCACACAATTCATCTCACATTGCTGCTGTCGACTTAGTCAACATGAAGTGATGCTCCTAACTTCCCGTATGTCTTCTTGTCTGCTACAGGAGATCCGCAACCAAGCCAGTGAATACCCTTACAAAGTGGCAAAACTTCCAGCGAATCGGAATTTAAACCGCTACAGAGATGTCAGCCCATGTGAGTCTTATGACAGATGGGACTAATAATGACAGTTTGTATTACTAAGAATGATGTTTTTGTAATTGTGATCTCTGGTTTGCTTTTAGATGATCACAGTCGGGTAAAACTTGAAAACTCTGAAAATGACTACATCAATGCAAGTTTAGTCACGGTGAAAGAAGCCCAAAGAGCTTACATTCTTTCTCAGGTATGTAGGTTGGAGCACGAGCAGTGTACAGTAAATCTGTGGGCCACTTCAAGAAAAATACGCATGTTTGCACTGTGATGTTTTGCGCATTTTTGATTGAGACTGGATTGGGTTTTTATTCCATGTTTCCTATTTTTGCTTGGACAGGGACCTTTGAGGAATACCTGTGGTCATTTCTGGTTGATGATTTGGGAGCAGTGTACCAAAGCTGTCATAATGCTTAACAGAGTGATTGAAAAAGGATCGGTAAGTATACATCAGCACCTGCATATCTTTCACAACTAAAGTCCCTCTGCTGTCCTGTTCCACTCAAATGTGCTGAGAGGCATGTCTTGATGTTATTATAGCAGTAGTGTTCTTGCTAGACACAGAACATTATGCATGATTAGTCTTTTCCATGAGTTTGTCTGAAACTCTTATGTCCACTGAGCCTAAATCTCTCTGTATTTATGTAATAATTTACTGCTTGTATTAAAGTCATGTTTTATTTTTACAGTTTTTCTCTGTTTATCAGGGTTTAAAAAAGGTCATAGCACATAATTTGAAGTCAGCTTTCAACTATATAAGATACAGAAAAACAGGAAGCTCTCTCATTTGGGAGGGTAGTAGAGTCAGAGAATGTTTGGCATAGTTTCACAGCTTTTGGTTGAAATATGATTCAAACAGTTGATTGTCAAAATAGTTGCTTATTTTTCAAAAATAATCTACCAGGAAGTCATACTGGATAGTTTTCTACTTAGAGATATAAACTGCAAACAAGCTTTTTATGGTCACCTTCACTAGACCTTCTTTGAAGTTTCTTTGAAGCTCTAAATTCTTACAGATCCAATCATAGTTTCAGACATAGGTAAAAGTTATATTCTTTTTTTAAAAAATGCTTTAAAGTTATACTAGTTATTCCCTCTCAAAAATACACACACACACACATACCACATATATATGTTTGCACACGCATGTAATTGATTAATAATCAACAAGTTTCTACACCACACTTGTATAAAATGCATAGTGACCATGACTGGCTCCAGACTAGTTATGTCACAAAGTCCTACATGTATATGCACATCCTTATTTCTAAAAAGAACACAGAAAACATGTGCAGTTCTCTGCACAGTAAAAACAGGTAAAATTCAGTTCTGAGTGGAGGGTAATTTTACAATTGCCTCCAAAAGTTTCATCAGGTTCAAATATTAACATCGAGTACATGTTTTGTAATGCTTTGTAGGCTATGTTTATGACTGTTGCCATGTACCATTGAGTTTAATAACAGGCTTCGACTGATCAGGGTTCCCTACAATTTTAAGACTTGGGCACAAAGCCTAAATATTTTCATGCAGCACACAAGCCAATTGAACAGAAAAATATGTTGAGAATTCTCCACCGCTCTGAAGAGAAAGGATACTGTTTTGCTTTGAATAGATGTTTAGGTTGTCATATTTGGGGACTCTGCAACTACATGTTCAGATGTTATTTTTTAATGGTGAGTTTACACGTCTTAGTAGCCTTAATGTTGCCAGACTAGCAAGTGTTTACCGTCAGTTTACAGCGAGTCTTTCAGTTAATCAGCATTAAAAGTGTTTGATCAGCCCTGGATTGTGAAGGCTCCTGTAATGTGCTCTATTGTCATGGAGAGAATGAATTCATGACATGCACAGGGGAAAATAGTCTGCCTACCCAGTGATGAATACCCAGTCCTTGTATGTCCTTCCTGCACACAATACTTTACACTTCGCTCCAGTACTGAGTTAAGTCATTTGTGTCTTCACAGGAAAAGTGTGCGCAGTACTGGCCAACCACAGATGAGCTACAGATGTCTTTCACAGACACAGGGTTTGTTGTGAGGCTACTTTCAGAGGAAGACCAATCCCATTACACAATCAGAGTGCTAGAACTGCAAAACACAAAGGTGAGCATGGGAAGGAAAATGTTGCATCACAACCATTTTAAACTTAGAAGGTAGACAGTCATTTCTCAAGTGACAACTGCAGAATCCTGAGCTAGAAAACGTCAGCCCAGTACTGTAAAGTAAAATCCTTATTGCTTTGCTTGACCTATTGTGACATTGCTTAACCAATACTCCAGCATCTAAGTCTAATTTTAAGTAGATAGAAAATGGTGTGATTTCACCATGTCTATACAATGCATCCCCCTTCTGTTTCATGGCCGACATTCCACATTTTCTATCACAGACGGGCGAGTCGAGAGAGATCTACCACTTTCACTACACCACGTGGCCTGACTTTGGCGTTCCAGAATCTCCCGCCTCCTTCCTCAACTTCCTCTTCAAGGTTCGGGAGTCCAGCTCTCTGGACCCAGAGCACGGCCCGTCAGTGGTGCACTGCAGTGCTGGGATTGGACGTTCAGGGACCTTCGCCTTGGTGGACACCTGCCTGGTCCTGGTGAGAGCTGTTTTTAGGAAATGCAGTCAGTGTGAAAGGGAACTGCTGCCTAATCATTGCGCTGACAACAAAGAGATAAAGCATTGCTTACAAATTCATGTTATTGCACGTGGGTAAGATAAGATGTTCATGTTATTATTTTACTTAAGGGCAGATAGAGAAGTTGGGGCATGTTGGTATAAGACCGAAAAGCACAAAGCTTTTTTTTTTTTTTTTTTTGGAAGAGGTTTGTGCACTGAAGCAGAAAAGGTGGTTGTCTGGAAAAAGTTGTTTTCCTCATGTTTCATTAGTAACTCTTACCTCCTCCATTCAAATTAAAGTCCAGCTATCACATTTTTTATTTTCTAATTTGCACCATGGCATGAAAAGTATTGATCTATTTTTTGTTAAAGATGATTTTTTAGGGTATTTCTTCATTTGATAGACACAGTGTAGAGAGGTGGGAAAAGAGAGCTGGGGAATAAGAGGCAGTAAAGGTCTGGGCCTGCTGGGAATCAAACCAGGAACTAACTGCTTGAAGGCATTTGTGGCAAAGTGATATGCACCCTTGCCACCCTAACAGCTGTCAGGTTGCTTGGCTAGAATGTTAGAAAGGAGGGTAAAGAAAAAAACAAAAACGGACCTTGATGGAGGAATGGAGTGAAACAGTCGGTGGTGGATGACAGCAATACAACAATAAAAAACATATTCAGCTCAAGTTAAAGTTCTGCTATCAAAATCCTAATTCTGTTAGTGCCAAAGTATTTTATGTCAGTCGCGCCTACAGTGTGACAAGGCTAATCTAACTGGTCCAGAGATGAGGTAGGCAAGAAGACAAATGTTCCGCTACATTCATTTGTATTTGAGTTGGACTTTTCCCAAATCGTTGCCATTTTATGAAATATTTGCGCATAAAACCGCTTTTTTTTTCCATATCTCATGGGGGCCTTTGAACAAGATTTAATATCCACAAACTTTTGCTGTGGCAAAAATTACTCACAACACGTGTGCATTTCCACAGTGGAGCCAAAGCAAAGATTAAACAAATTTGTCCATTGGCACATCTAAAGTTCAACAGTCTTGATTTCACTCTGAAATTCAACAAAACTTTGGCTTTGTTGTTCAAGCTTTAAAAAAGCTTCTCAAAGTTGGTGAGTTGTTTGGTGACTGTCAGTTAAATCTGATCAACCCACAACCCCATCGTCCTGATAAAACAGACGAGGTGAGTTTGTAATGTTTACATTTCAATTAACAATTACAAATTATGTTTTATAGCAGTTTTTAAATATTGTAACCAAAAAAAATCCCGAAATATGTTGCAATCTGATGTGATTCAGTATTTGATGAAAACCCTGCACAGGTATTCCAGCTGTTTTCTATAAATGTCCTTATCTGTTTCCAGATGGACAGGAGGGAGAACCCATCATCAGTGGACATACAGAGGGTGCTGCTGAGCATGAGAGAATACCGCATGGGCCTGATCCAGACCCCCGACCAGCTCCGCTTCTCCTATATGGCCGTCATCGAGGGGGCCAAGCTCATCCTGACAGACAACTCTGAAGCACAGGTAACCCTGTCCCAAGGTTGTGGATTTAGACAGTGCTTGTGTAGGTCTGAGGCTCATTTTTGGACTCGTACAAAACTATTCACACCTTGCTGATGAGCTCCACTTCCTGGGAGAAACCACTCACTCATGGTAGTTTTAGGGCAGAGGCTCTAATTGGGTTGAGTTTTCAGTCTTTAAGTTGACCTTTACAATCATGTATGAGCAGAGTTAATCCAAAGCAGGACAGAGGCACTGTTGCAGTTTCAAGCTTTCAGTTTCTCTTAAAAACTGACATCAGAAACAATTGGAGGTATTGAGGCCTGTGAGTTTATAAACCAGAAGGAAAGGAATCAGTTTTTTTTTCATGCCCTATTTATACCTGGAATTGACGTGGGATCTTTATCTGAATATGCTTTCTGGATCCGATCTACAGGTCTGTGCATTCACATCTAATCTTAAAATTCGTTAGGCAGGGCTGGCTGACCTGTCAACTCACATGGTGCATCTCATGATAAGGGAAGCAAGGCTGAGGGATGGAATCTGTTTTACTGCTACTATCTGTGACTATTGTCATGCTTGCTAAAGTTAGCAGGACAAGGAGAATTTTAGATGGCCTTTAAGCTCCAGGGACTTATTTTGGAGTTTGTTTGGTTTCTGTTGTTGTTTTTTTCAGAATATGGTCACACTGCGCACATCCAATGGCATGGTTTATCCTGTATAGAGAAATTTTTTTGCACCCTCCAAAGCCAGCACTAAAAGAAAATAGCTAGTGCCAAAAAGATAAAATCTGAAAGTAAAATTAGCAAATACATGTTTCAGTTATTTTCGTTAATTTCATTTATTTGATCATAGTAGGCGTTTTGTAATCAAAAGGTCGGAAATAACAGGAAAATACATATGTTTCTGTAAAACATGGTTACCCAGACTCATTACCTTGACTGTACATGGACCAATCGTGCTTATTGTCGTGTATAGTTCATGATGATTTGTTATTTATCCATGGTATGTAGCGTTTCTCACGACTCTGCTGTGAAGAATGCAGGAGGATGCCATAGTAGCATTACACAAACAAGGGCTCTTTATTTTTTTTCTGTGAAAGCAAACCCAACTTTTGGTAACCGTTCTGCTTATCGAGCCATGTTAAAGCTGACAGAAATACTTTGACTACCCTGCTTGTAACACTTTATTTTGAAAACTTGACTGTGGCTGCAGCAACATGCTGGTTCTTTTTTCACACGCCGGGAGAAACTTGCATTCCACAACGAACCCTCTGGTCTAATCACCGCCTTCCTTATAGGCGATGTGCTGTCAAGCTGTATCAATTAATATAAGTGTGAAGTGTTTGTTTACCCTGATAGACAGAGGTAGGCAGCAGTGAAGGAGGTACTCAGATGGGAATCCGAATCATTAAGTCAGCTCCAGTTGACAGGAAGCTCATCAGCTCATAAGATACAAATATGAGCTTTGGAAAACCTACAATTAACCTAAATGAAGATTTTTCAGAAATGGATTACTTTGTCAATTTTTACATCCCTTGTCTGGTTCACATTAATTTTACTTAGAATTAAAAACGACTGCTGAAAGGTTCTAAAAAATGGCAGGAGAGTCAATAATTTCACACGATATAATTCATGCTGATTTTTCTTTGTTCTTTCATAATTTAGCCAGCCTGATTGTGTAATGAGTAATAGATTGCATTCTTTGTAATATTGAACATCTTATTACTTCAGCTGGACATGGTGGTGAATCCTGCAGAAATGTTGAAGTTTCTTGCACTGTATCAACAACAACAAAAAAATCTTTAATAGTCATGATATAAAACACAACTTCGAAAAAAAAAAAAAGACTCTATTCAATTAAGTACGACAGTGAGGCAGCACACACAATACCGGGAACCTAAAATGGATGGAAATTAGGCATCATTTGTTTTACTCATGACATTTATAGCAGTGTTTTTCCTGTGACTGTGTGTGTTAAGCACCATGTGTGCTGTTAAAAAGGCAGCGTTATTACAAATTTTAGTACACAGCTGTTACAAAAAAGCAGCTCTGATATTTTATTAGTCTCAAAAAGCTGGGCTGTCTTTGTTCAGAGCACAAGCACTAAGAAAATCAAATGGTTGCTAAAGCAATATAGCTAAATGCAGCCTGGGTAGCTTAAAATGTGACTGTATTGTTATACACACACAAACTATTGTAATGATTTATATTATCTCGTTTTTGTTTATTGTTCTATTACTTATGGTTAGCTATCCTTATTTCTTTTAGCCTGTAACTAAAAAAAACTTAAGAACAAAGATGAGTTTAGTCTTCGAGTGCAGAGATATCTTGGACAACCCAAAATATTTTCTTCGCTTTGACATCCAGACTTTATTTTTCTTAGCTTTACCAACATATGCACTTTTGTCTTCTTCTCTGTCTTAAGTTGGCAGAAAGTTGTTTTTTTCAATGTGTCTGCAACTCATCTCCTGTAGCAGAACAAGCTGAGAATGCTATCCAGAGATGACTTGGAGCCAGATCTGCCCCCTCCACCACCTCCACCCAGACCTAACCTCAATGACAACAGGCCCAATGGACCCTGTCTGGAACCACAGGACACCTCAGGAGACCACCTGCTGGCAGGAGAGTCAGACAGCCAAGACCACAACGTGGCACAGAACTCTGGACAGTAAGCAACAGCTCAGCACCTCTTGCAATGAATTTTGTCAGATTCAAAATCAGAAAAGGGAAAAAAAAAGTTGAAAATACTACTCTGGCTGTAGACTTCACATCTTTGTTTCCATTTGCACTGTAAAGTCTCATCTTGACTTGACTTTTTGATCACAGAGTAATCAGACTCTAACCCTCCTCTCCTTCCTACAGTTAGATTTTTTGTATAGTAATTCTTTGGGAGAGCAGTGACAGTGTGCCTGAGATTTCTGGGATTTTTTCACACAGTTTTTTGCTGACCATTTAACTCAAACTGTCTCTTATTTCAGTGTGAGAAAGCGACACCGTGAGGAGAGGATTGCCAGCACTGCACAGAGGGTCCAGCAGATGAAACAGAGACTGACGGATTCGGAGAGGAAACGAGAGAAGTGGCAGTACTGGAGGCCCATCCTGCTCAACGTTGGTGTCGGGACAGCCTTGGCTGTCGGCCTGCTGTGCTGGATGTACTCCCAGTGAAACACTCTGGGTCCCTTAAAACTGATTCCTATTTTGCACCGGTACCTGGGATTAGGTACTTCTTCTCTAGGTAGATTTAGATGGTAATATGTGTATAACTGAGGGTATTTATTTCTTAAGGTCAAAATGCGGGAGCGCTAGATCAAATGAGTGTGTGTATATTTTTCATGTAAGATCTTAACAAAAATAGTAACATCTCAGGATCTTGGTGCCAGCACGATGATTTAATTTCCTTTCCTTCTTGTCACTGTTGAATGAATGTACTGTGTCATAGCAAAATGGCTTTGAAAGAAATGTACTAAAGGTACAGTACAAAGGAAAAAAAAATACTTTGACAGGTTTATTTTTGCATTCTTTATTTGTAATGGTCAGATGTGTGTTGATCATCTGTGGACACGTTTTACATTTTGCATTTCAAAATGAGTTTTGTTGACTGTCGATCCTACCATAGATGAGTAGGAAAACTCCCGGGCCGAGAAGTCAACTATGGGATGTTTCTTTTTGATTGTTTGTTTTAATGTAATGAAATGCATGCATTTAGAGGTTTTCCAGAGCACCACTTGTTCTTCCATTCACATTTAGCAGGGCATCCCAATATGGCCAGATATATATTTTTGTGTGACTGGACACTTCATAGGGAGCTGCCTTGCCAATGTTTCAAACTCAGCTAGAATGTTAACTTTTAATCTTCTGTTATATGAGCACATTTTGTTTTTTTTGTTTTTTGTTTTCCTTGTCATAGGTTTTGGTTGTCACATGGTTCATGCATACTGCCGGGTCCCTCCGAGTAATGCATGCATTTACCCACTGGATGGGCTCATGTGTGTATGTTCAGGTTATTACTGTTGTTTTTGAGGAAACCAAAGCAAAGCTGTCCATTTTAGAAAGATAACAGCCAGGCAAGCTGTTAAAAGACAAACCTTTGTACTCCAGTTCTATGGAATGTACTTTCTGTTGGATCTGTGACATAACTGACACCTGTATGACAAAGTGATGCTAGTCATAGAACCTTTGCAGTGCGTGTGTGGGTGTGTGTGTGTCTGTAGGTGTCTGTGACTCCTTAATTTGAGCCCGTAGCATCACCTAATTGGCTTTTAATTGTGTGTCTGTAGGTGTGTAGGTGTGTGTGTGAGTGTGTGTGTGTCTGTAGGTGTCTGTGACTCCTTAATTTGAGCCCGTAGCATCACCTAATTGGCTTTTAATTGACTGGGACCAATCTAACGCTATAATGGTGCAAATTAGAAATCGGGACAGAGCACCCTGGAGTACATTCAAAGTCAGGAGAGAGTGATAGCAGTCACATCTGTACCCCTTGTTTGCTGGTTGACATAGCTTTTAATGTGCCTTGAAGTGAGTTAAACTTAAAAAAACAAACAAAAAGAAAAAGAAGTGTGTGTTCCAAGGTTTCCCAGCAGGATCAGTACAGAAAGAGGATTATGTGAGCTGTTTGAGCTGTTGTGTCCCACAAAACATGAATAACAAGTCTGCACTGAATAGACCGGCTTTGAGGTGTTGTACGATAAATTGTTAAAGAGTCGACTGCACACCTAAATGTGTCATTAGCATGTACTGACTCCTGAAATGTTAGAATGGCTGTAGTTGGCTTTTGCTTTTTCTCATTTAACCCAGAAGACATATGTTTGACTGTAACATTTTATTCATTCTTATTTTCCACATAAGATTTCAGGGGAGTTTTGTACACTGCTGAGCTGCAGTGAGAAAATGACAGATGAGGTGTTTTGGGGAAGAAAAAAAAAAAAAACAAAGCTAAGAAAACATGAAATACTTCTTTAAAAATTAAACATTCTTTTTTTTTTTAAAACCAAACCCTGCCTGTGTCCTTTCTTTGTGTTTGTTTAACTCGATGTTGGCAAAGCAGCTTTGCAGAAAGGAAAGCCCACCCACAGCTCTGCCCAGCCCTCCACTGCTGTGCTGTTCCAGTCATAATTTCATTCTGACCATGAACTAAATCAATGCAGCCAGACTGGAGGCCTCTCACTGTGGATTCCAGGAATTGATTCAATATTTCAAGAAGAAGCCCTGCTCGTATTGACTGCTTAAGTAATTTCATTTTCTCTTGTCTGGAATGGTGTGTGTGGAGGAGGAAGTGCTGTATTTACTTTCTAAAGCTATTCACTTAAAGAAGCTATGCAGATTCCTTTTTTTCTTTAAGGGCTATGAACACATGCAGTTAAATACATGTTATAAGATAGGTTGGGCAAGATAAAGTCTAAATTGACTCTATAAAACTGGCTGATTTGACAATAAAGTAGTGAATGGAAGCATTAAATCTGACTCAAACTACAACTTAAACTATTGAGGGTCCTTTACGGGATGTCGCAAACCGTGACGCCTTTAGGGCAACCGATAAAATCCCTGAATAAAATGTTATGTATTTTCCAATAAAAATAAAATAAAGGCAAAATAAACGTGCGCTAAAATACGTATATCATCAGTGACATCCCACTCGATATAAATTATTTTGTTGTCCGGCTAGATTGTCGAGGTATTTGTTTTGCACACAGGACCGTGTCAGGCACAAGTGGAGACGTATTCCCGCTTGCTTTTCCGCCACAGTTTAAACTGGCAGCTGTTATGCTGTCAAGACAAGAAACTGGCTTTTGTAACAGACGACAAACGTATACAAGTATTAAATATAGCTCAAATAAGGAAAGATAGGTATTCATTGTTCTCAACAGTGCCCTTTTTCCAGCCTGGTTAGCTATTTTGTCTCACCAGTGGCCGGAGCTAACCAGCTGGTATGTCTCTACCTCCAGAGAAAGCTTCCGAACTGAAGCAAATAATTCACAACCATCTGCTCAAGGTGAGCAAACTACATAGCTTTACTTTTTGTTCATGTTGTAAACAATGCCCATTTGCATGCCGTGATTCCTAAGTTAAATGGTTCAATAGGTACTCATATTTTGTATGAAGAGGGAAAGCAGTTATATGCTGTCTTTCCAAATATAGCAAATTGCCATCTTCTTCCTTGTTGACAAAAGCTCACACATGAATAATCAGATTTTACTGTCTGACATAATCAAACTGTGTCTGTTAAGAGGACTGGCTGTGCCAGTTGTGTAGATTATTATTTAAAGAATTTTTCGATATTATCCACTGTAGGCTACTTAGCTGTTATCCTCCTATTCAAGCCAATGTGAGACTCCTGTTCTGGCTTCAAATATCTGTTAGCAGACTGAACTGTAGATCAGACGACTAGAACATATTGATGTCTGAAAAGCATGTTCAGTTATGTTTCTTGAAAGAATCTAATAAAATTTATACCAGAGGAGGGAAGTAGTGAAACCCCTATTGGTACAGCTTAATTAGCAGTTTTCTAAACCTGCGTTTCTTAGGATAAAAGTTGGTATAGGTCCACTGGTGTTGAAATATTTCCTGTTAGGATTACTTCCTCGTTTACCCAACTTCCTACCCAACACAATTAGGAGGGTTTGGTATACCAAACCAGCAAATGTGTGACAGTTTGATGTCAGGGATGGGAAGATTTCATCCATCATTAATTTCCTCTTTGGTAGAAAGCTATGAAAGAGACATGATCACATTGCTCCTGTTTTAGACTTTTTACACTGTCTCCTAGTATATTTAAGATATATTTTTTTGTAACCCATCTGCAGATAGAAGTCCTTTGTCTGTTCCAGAGACCGAGCTAAAAACTAACAAGTTTCTTCTTAAGATACACTTTTATCTGCGACCCTTTCCGGATTTTGTTTAAGTTTTAATTCGCTTTGAATAGTCTTTATTTATTTCAATAATATTTTTACCTTTGCTAACAATGTTGTGATTTTTATACACCATGTTGTGTTTTTATCTGTTTTTATCTTTATCTTACAATTCTAATGATTTTATGACTAGTTTGTCTTTTTATTTTTTATTTTTTGCTGCCTTGTGAAGCACTTTTGGATTTTGAAAGATAAAAAAAATGTAGTATTATTGCTTTATTTGTTACTAATATGATTGTATAACAGATATGACTGGTATTTAGGTGAAGAAGGAAATAGGAATGTGACTTTATTCCACTTTTTGCTCTTTGTCAGATGGATATCCATGGGAAGATCCGAGAGGTGTTGGCTGAGACTGTGAGGGATGATCAAGGCCCGACACATCGGTCTCTGTCTGAAACAGATTTCCTACATGCTCTGCAACGCAGAGGCATCATAGATGATGTGATGAAAGACCTCCACTTTACCCAGGTTGGCCAACACTTTATAGGCAATGTCAGATATATATATACTTGATAAGTCTTGATGTAGAAATTCATTTTAATTCATTTAATTAAAAATCCTAAGTGGACTTTTCCTAAACTGTTGGTCTTATTGATAAAATCCCATTTAATGGATTAAGAGTACTAAGAAAACAACATTTTTATTCTTTGTACCTGCTCTGTCCTCACCCGTAAACGGGTAATTCATTATCTTGTTTCTGACTGTTCTGTACTTTGGTCATGTTGGTCTGCCTTGACAGGAAACAGACACAGAAACAGGATCTCCTCCTAAACCTGCTACACACTTTATTGACAAAGATATTACTCAGCTGCAGAAAAGTAAGGAGCATCATTTAATAACCCAGACAAACTGACACAATACCATGGGCTATATTGTAGCTCTAAAGCTGTGTCTGTTAAGTAAAAGCATTCTGTTGTTTCTCTCAGCCAATATTGACCCATCAAGACGGTACCTGTATCTACAAGTGCTTGGAGGTAAGGCCTTTCTGGAGCACCTGCAGGAGCCGGAACCTTTTCCTGGTCAGGTGTGTTCTACATTTACTCTCTACCTGCATTTCCGCAATCAGAGGTTTCGCTCAAAACCTGTGCCCTGTGCCTGCGAACCTGACCTGAAGGAGGGCTTCCTCTTAGAGATCCACAAGGATGGCTTCGGTACGTCAACCACCACTGCAGGTGTCGGTCAGAAGTAACTGCTGTTAAACTGTTGAGCCTAATCTTGCAATCACTTCTGGCATTGCAGGAGAAGGCAGTAAGATGGCTGATGCGACCACCATGCTGTCTATGTGTGATCCAGTTCACTTTGTGCTCATCAAGACGGACACATCCAGTGAGACAACGCTGGTCTCGTCCTACTTCCTGGACTGGAGAACTGTCCTCGCCTCGCCCAGTGGCAAGACGTGTTTTGCTGTAGAGCTGATGGGAGTTGGTGAGCAACAATTATTCTGCTGAAGTGCCAGTTTGTAATGTATTTTTTACTACAACCAAGAATTCTGAATACAGCTCATTTCTAGAGCTGAGTAGAGTAGTTGTTTCTTACATATATTATGTTACAAGCAATAAATGTGTCACTTCTCCCAACTCCTACAAGTCATACCTGTGAC